CCATTAGGAGTTACCAGAAATATCAAACAAATAGTTTATCCCTGGTCAAATAGTCCAACTTCATACTCCTTCTTTTTGCTCTGCACAATCTTGATCTTTAAATCATTCCTATGGCATCGCAGGATTTGATCTTTCATCACCCTTTGGCATTTAAAAGGAAACCTCACCAGCCTACTTCGTAAATCCGATAAAGAGGTATTGTCCAGGATTTTTTGTTACAGCTATTCCATGTTCAGATCCATTTCTTGATTTGTCTTTTGTATTCCCATTTTGGTAATCTCATTTTTGTTGCCTTCTGTGCCTTCAAACTCTGTCAGCCCTCCCAGGTAAACCAGACAGAAAACACGACTAGATGAGCTAATTCTACTTTTTTGTAAGGCTACATTAACAGAATCTTGCAAGTCTTAAAGTATAAATCTCCCGCCCTTCCTATTTACCGCCTGAGTAGTTAGGGTGGGTCCTTCCTAAGTTTCTTTTTCTGGCCATTACTCCATTGCAGACTCTTTTCTTTTTTATCTTATCCTTCCCTAAAAAGCCTCCCCCCCCCCCCATCTTCCAAGGTTACCCTCACATTCCGTCACAAACTCTGTAACTTCTATGTCAGGTAAAAGTTTTTTTTAAGTTTTTCTCATCATCTAAAAGTTTATCCATTGAAATCTGTATCCTTCCTGAGATATTAATTATTAATATTCCAGTCCATGTTTCAAAAAACCCTTTAAGAGAAGAAAAAGCCAGCTTAGCCATTTTAACTCTTTTCTGCCTGGTCCTTTAGTTCCCTGTAGTGTCCATTTGCAACCTTCATCAAGCCTCAGTTTGTAATATGGGTTTAGTTCTATTTCAGTTTTTTTCCACGAGTATATTATTTAATTATATATTCGTTTCTAAAATCTTACAGCAAAAATAACCAATATTCCTAATCTCTCTGGTCTCCTAATCCATTAAAAACTTTCTTAAATCAAAATCCTTTTTTTTTTTTGCTTTTTGCCAATTGTATATTATTTTAAATTCTTAAGTCTCTTTAAAATTTCTTAAATCCAAAGAAGAAGGTAAAGCTCACCAAGTGTCAAATTAAGCTTGCCATTTTGAAGGTCACTAATATCCATAAAGTGGTTAAACTGAACATTTCCAAATGTGATTAGAAAGTGAGTTTGGCTGGCTTAATGTCCTTATGAAAGGCTCCACTGCTGCTGAGAGCAAAGATGTCATCTCTCTTGGCTCCTGGTGCTCAAATCAACTGAGGCCGCTGTTTTATGGTCCCTCCACAAGGAACTGCCATTCAGAGCACTCGTGGATGATCTCCCAATCTCTCCTTCTCCGGAGAAATTCGAAGGACCGGTCTACTTTCTGGTCTTTTGTTCTGCACAGCGGTCGTCGTCTCCGCTTGTTCGTGGAGATGTTTTCAATCAGCTGTGACTCACACCAGAAGCCTTATCCTTACTGTTTTTCAACATTCGCACAACATACCATATATACTTGTGTGCAAGCCCACCTGTAGATAAACCAAACCTCAAAATTTTTGTATGTTTTAATTTTCATAATTGGCTCATCTGCAGGTGGTGCATTTTTCAAGGTACTTTGATTAAAAGGCTTATCCGCAAGTTTATATGGTAGGTTTTTCTCTCAGCTTTTTCAAAGTACCCATATATCCCGTATATACTCACATATAAGCTCATCCACGGATACGCCAACCCTAATTTTTGGGGTGTATTTTGGTACCTAAAATTCTTGGCTTATCTGTGAGTATATACGGTATATTGCTTCCTTTTTATCAATATTTTCTTCGATTATAGCATTTATATATCTCTAAAAAACTTTTTCCAACATTCCCTCACCTCGCTTTCATCCCAAAACAGGATGATAGACTATAAGGGTTGGAATGTATCTTGGGGATGATCAGGTCCAGTGCAGAAATTCACTATTACAGCATCACCAACTTACGGCTGTCTAGCTTCTGTTTCAACACTTCTAGTGAAGGAAAGCACACCATCCCCAGGGGCAGACTGTTGCATTCCTGAACACCCATTACCATTAGGAAATTCTCCCTGTTATCCAATTCATATCTACTTACTTGTAATTTAATCCTGTTGTTTCTTTTTCATCCACTTCCAAAATGAATCCAGCAGGATTCACATGGATCTATGAGCTACATACCAGATATTAAGGCAGTTTCCTCTGCTTAGGAGAAAAGGATGAGTAGAGAAACCATCATAAGCACAATTAAAATTTATGAAGTTTGACTTTATTTATCATATTTGTATACTGCATGTTCCCAGCAAAGCCAACTTGCATGAGTCAACAACCCAATCAACACTAAACAACAATAAATACAAAAAGTAATTATAACCAAACTTAATTATAGTCAGACTTGATTTCAGTGAAATATTGACTGATAAAATAGAAATAAAGGTATATAGTAATAGTATAATCATCACTATAAATGTATACTTTCTGACACTCATTTCCAACATCTTTCTTTAAGTAAGTGTTGTGAAGCTACAGTCATATGATGAATCCTTGTAAGAAACTCACTTGTAAGAAACAAAATTTGGTAACTAAATAAATTGAAATGAAAACTGAAAGCGTGATCTTAGATTCTCTATGAAACAAATATAATTGAAGGTAATATTTGTCTGAAAACCTGGGAATTTTTAAAATAAAAGTTGATTAAATAAAAAATTAAGCTGAGAATCAGAATAAATTTTTCAGCATAAGTAAAACATGTTCAATTGACTCAATCTCGCCTAATTCATATGGGAAGAACCACTGAGAAATAGATTTTACAAAAACATCCTTTTAGAAGAGCCAATGGTAGGATATTAAATCAAGCTATGGAGAATTCCCATTAGTTTTTAGAATGTATAAGTGAATACAAATTAAGCTGCCAGAGTAGGTCATTGGAAATCTCTGAGTGGTCAATGCATCTTAGAGGTTTGATGTAAGTCATTCTGTGGAAGTCATTCTGTTAGGCTGTATCCTGGATCCTCTATTCAATTGCCTCTTTAGCCTAATTGTTCCCTAGAGATGATAGGTAGGTGAAAGGCTATAGAAATATACTTTTTACCTGAGGTGCTCTTCCACCATAGAGATCTAAAGTTATCAGATGACAGCAACCCAGCTGGTGCCAGGATAAGCCTTAGCCATGTTTTCTGGCTAGCTAGCTAGACATTGGCTTTAATTTGGGGTACCCTTACTTCTAGTCTTACTGCTGCTTTGCAAATGTGTCTTGGGGGGGCTGAAAAAGAGTTATTTAAAACTCTGATTGAACTTAGTCGAGGGGACTATGGAAGGAATCATTATACTTAATTACATCTCATATAATAAATGAGCCACTCACTTTGCAACAAAGTGTTAATAGCTGCTGGAATAAAATTACTCCCTGCTTTTGATGGAATCTTACTATTGCCACAACATATATTTGAGCTAATAAGATATAGGGCTCATCCACACACCCACTTTTTCCATGTTTCCTCCCATCTCAAAGTCAGAGGACACTTGTTGTCATAAATCTTGCTCTAAATTAGGGATCCCTGCTTGCACATTATAACATGAACGTTACAAAGAACATTATAACATGAACATACATAGGGTAAAATTGGACATTACATGGGCCTATTTGGTGCATATGGAATATTGTGACTTGGATTGTAACAAGAATAACTGGCAAAAAAAGGATGAATTAACAAATTAAATGAAAGAAAAATAGATACATTGTGTGGTTATAAATCTAAGAGATTAAGAGAAAGGAGACAGATGGAATAGATTTGAAGAAGGTGGTCTGATTTTGTGGAATAAAGTTGATGAACAAACCCATGGACATGAAGGTTTTATTATGAGTGAAAGAGCTAAAATGCATGTAAGAAATTACAATTTAGTGTCATTTGGACTGTGATTGAGTGATTAAAGTTGGTGATAATAAATGGTGAAAAAATTGGTTAAAGATACAAGAGAGTTTCTGAATATGGGACAGACCACATTTTAGTAGTGTCAAAATTTGATTTTTGGGAGAAATGGAAATGGAAGAACAGAAAGTAATGAAATAAATGAGAATATGGATATTAAAAAGGATGCAGAAGCTGCTTAGACCAGAGTGAAAATAATTGTGTTAGAGCATCAAAGAAATGTGTAGAGTTATAGAAATGGGAAGACTGAAAAAGGATGCTTGCTGGAATGATGAGATGGATAGAAAAGAATGTATGTTGAGAAAATGATTTCTGTAAAAAAAATAAGAGGTATTATTTAATCTGTATAAAGAGACAGAGAGATGTGAAGAATGTAGTCAAAGAGAACAAAGAACAATTAAGATTAAGAGGTAGAGGAAAGGTATAGGAATTTTGATGGAAATAAAAATTGTTTCAGTGTTGTCAGCTCCAAATGAAAAATAACTTGGTGTAAAGAGGTTGGAGAAGAATTGCAAATTATTATTCCAAATCACAAAAAGTTCAAATCAGAAACAAAATACTCAAGCACAATCTGAAATATGCATAAAAGGCTGAAATACAATTACACAGCTTGCAGAGAGAAATAAAAACAGGAGACTTACACAGCACAAAGAAATAAACACCAAAGTTCTAATACATATTCCTTCCTAAACTTGAAATGAATGTATAAATATTGATGCCCAGATAAAAATGGATTAAATGCTGTGGTAATGTTGATTTAAAGCTACTGTTGAAAAACAGTAGAAGGTATAATTGGAGAAATGTTAAAATACAGATGTGATTTGCTTATGAAAAATACTGGAAAAAGGAAGGTGGATATTTGTTTAATTAGTACTAAATGAAAAACAAATTAAGGCTTAAAAGAGCTTTCAAGAACAAGGCAGACATAGGAATTCAGAATTCCAGTTAGTCTGTCAGATTCCTTAATATCTGTGCCAGAAATCAAGAAAATTATTGAACAAGGTTTCTTTTTTAAAATGAATATCACTTAAAAAAATTCTTATCCAATAGCATTTCATGAGAGATCAAGATGCAAGTGGAAATGGGGGGCGGGGGGGGGGAAATAAAGGAATTACATGTCATCTCACTTTCAGCTATTTTATTTGGATGAACAGGTTCAGAGCTACATGGTGTTAGCAAGTACATGCCATAGAATGCCATACCAGCTAAAATTGCACAGATTCATAGCTGGCAATTGTAGTTTCTATGCTGCATGAGATTCTCGTATGTATATGATTTAAAAAGGATTTGAAAAATAATAATGAAGATCTGTAATATATACATGTTACTGATGCAATGTATAAGGCTGATCTGTATTCTTCTCTTATACCTGTGTAGTTTTTTCCTTTAACTGGACTCTATTACAGACTTGCAAATCTATGCAGTGACTCCAATTCCTGATAATATTGATGTCCTACATATGGATCGGGTCCCTGATCGCATAAAGAGCTTTTATCGAGTTAACAACATCAGGAAATTCCGCTATGACAGGCCTTTCCACAAGGGTCCCAAAGACAAGGAAAATGAATTTAAGGTTCTAATGCTTCCTAATATTTTAATATTGTTTTTATGCAAAATATATTGATAAGCTTTGAGATAAATGTAAAAGCTCATAAAATTATTGCTATCCTCAAAGCAAATGTTAAACAATTTTAATGGTGATAAAAAATAATAGGAACACAATTTTTTGAATATTTGACTGCAGCCTTATGATATAAAAGTAGAGCCTGCAGAGCAACTCAACAGGTTGCAAGAGTAAGCCTTACTGAGCTCTGTAAGATATAATTCTGATTAGGCATGCACAGCACTGCACTATAACAGACTAAAAATGCAAGTTTTTACAAGTCTCTAGCTGTACTCTTGCATTACTATATTATATAAGGCAATCAATGCAATTTTGAATTTTTTATTCTTTTTAACAATAGTGACTAACATATTGGATGCATTGTTTTAGTTCAGAAACAGAAAATCAAAAAAAGAAAGAATCAGGCAAGCTTAAACAAGATAAGGTGGACACAAATTAGCATTGCAGAAGAAACCACTCATATTCGGTTGTCCAAAGGCTCACAAAAATCTGATCTTCAATGAGACAGGGGGCCCAACTCATTTCCAAATATGGCTGTCAAATGTTTCCAGAAAACCTGTAAGGAGGTCGCAAAGAAAACTGGCTTCCCCCATTTGTCCCCAATAACTGATAGCTGCCTCTGAACATAAACATTCCATTTAGCTATCACGTCTGGTAGTATTTACCTAATTCTGTTTAAAACCTTATTAATCAGGGGTCATTACTACATCTTGTAGGAGCAAATTTGTTTTAAATCTTCTGCCAATTAATTTAATTGGCTGATGACATTTTAATACTATCTATACAGTGCTATCTATACAGTACAGTAGAGATTGATAATGTTATTTACTGTGTAGGTGAATAACACTGTCAGTCTCTACTGTACTGTATTTCCTCATTTTTTTCTAAGTTGCATGAATCAAATCTTTATTACAGCCATAAAGCCAGTAGTCAGAAGGAGATAAAGCAAGTAAAAATGGAGATGTACAGTATAAGACTAACAACAACAACAAAAGATCAGAAAGACTATAAAATCCTAACCATTTTAGGAGGGGTTTCTCTTTCTGTAAAGGAAATAAGCCGTTCCAATAGATTTTCTGTATGGGGCGTGGTCATAGGGATCACTTGTAGGTGATAGATACCTTTGGCTGAGATCCTAAAACACTACTTGCCTGAAAAGATTACCTTTTTAAAGAGAGAGGGCCTATTTAGTTTTAATAATCTGTTAGTTTTAATAATCTCTTTTCAAAAATGGTTACAGTCTTACCATTTGCTGTAAATATTCCAGTAGAAACAAAGGCTATCAAAATGACAGGATAGAGAAGATAGACATTGCCATCCTGTCATATTTTTTCCAAGACATACAGAGGGTACTGGCAGCTGATAACCTGAGGATGGGAAAGAGCTAGGAGGAAACAGTCAAGGCTGGTTTCTCATACACAGAGTCCCTCATGAGGTCAAAGTAGAAGTTGGAATGGATTAGGGAGCTGACAGGAGAGTCCTTGGGGATGGTTAGCATCCTGACGATGCTCCCTTGAATTATTCCCCAACTTTCCATCTTGCTTGGAAGCTGTTTATTATTAAGTCTGTTTTATATTGTATTTTAATAAATTTTATTCTTGCTGTAAACCGCCCAGAGTCGTTTCAACGAGATGGGCGGTGACTAATTTGATAGATAGATAGATAGATAGATAGATAGATAAATAAATAAATAAATAAATAAAAAGGAGAAGGAGGGAAAAAGGACTGGCAAGCAAAAATAAGATTAAGCAGCTTCATATTGCTGAAGAGATCAGGTTCCTGGGTGATTCAAGATCACTGAAGATAGGTCAGCACAGAGGTCACATTTGTAGGGAGAAAGACAATATGGCATGGGATCAGTCTACCCAGACTTGGCACGGAGGCCCAGAGAGAAAAAAGAGGATCTGAAGACCCAATAAAATTATCAAAGTTCTACTAGCTGTGAGAGGTTGCCAGCTAAATTCTAAGTAAAGCTCTTGAGGAACTCTTTGGGGAACTTAGCAGTAAACCATATACCATACAAAAGCTTAAGATAGACATACAGAAGCATTACTATTGCAGGCAGGGAGATAGTTAATCTCAGAATGGTAGAACAATTAGGCCATGAATCAATTTACCTCATTCCACTCTTTTTTGAAGTCAGAAGCAGGAGGACCAATTGGTTTGTGTGTTTTAGCTGAATGCTGCTTGCATAATTAGTCTTCCATAGCTGAAAGAGAAACTAAAACTCAGTGAGGGAGATGGTAAATGCGTCCTTGAAAGAGGGTATGTTACCCCCTGCTTTGAAAGAGGTGGAGATGCACCCTCTCCTTAAGAAAACATTGCTTGACCCCATTTTACTGGACAATTACCAGTCTGTCTCCAACCTCCCCTTCTTGGAGAAGGTTATGGAGAAATTGGTTGGGCTGCAATACATTATCTGGACCTGTTTTGGTCCAGTTTCTACTCAGTTTCATCCCAGTTACAGGACTGATTGCAGTTTTTAATGATCTCTGGCAGAACTGAGATAAGGTTAATGCAACCCTCCTTCTTGGCCTCTCAGAAACTTTCAGTAACAGTACTGTATCTTTTTGAGCCATCTCTGAGGTTTGTGCGGGGGGGAGGGCATTGTATTATGGTGGTTCTCCTCCCTGAAGTGATGTTTCGGGGTGGCAGGGAGATCAAGCCCTAGACCCTTCACCTGCAGGTTTCTGGCACTTTCTAGTAAAATTACTCTGGGCAGAATTGGTTTGCAATTTGAGGGTCAGACTAGCAGATCCTGCTTGAGGATATAGGGGCAGCTAAGGTAAAGAGAGCCTTTCTTTATCTCCATCTAGTGTGCCAGTTGCTACCTTTCCTGGAATGGCAGGAGTGACTTCTTGTCACTCATGCCTTAGTCACCTCTCAGTTGGATTGTTATAATGAGCTCTACATAGGGCTTCCCTTGAAGAGCTTTCAGAAGCTGTAGTTGGTTCAGAATGCAGCAGCTTGAGTAATGATGGACGCACTTTGAAACACTCCTGTAACATCTTTAATCTAAAAGTTGCACCGGTTGCCAGCTGGCTTTTGGATGTAATTCAAGGTGCTGGTTGTCACCTTTAAAGCCCTTCATGGTTCAGGGCCTGTTATCTGCAGGACTGTCTTCTCCCTGTTATATTTGCCCACACAAAAATATCTGATAGAGCATTCCCTCAATTAGGGACTTGTCACCTTCAGGGGCCTTGTAAACACACCTTTTTAGTCACTTTCTCTCCTCTGGAATAGTCCCTCCCTGCAATGTATGATCGGCCCCTTCTCTCCGCGCCTTTAGTGAAAACCTGATTGTTCTGTTAAGCCATTTGAGATAGGTAACGTCAGGAAAGAGACATCACAAAGACTACTGGAACTGTATTGTTGTACAGTATAGTAATAGATTCTTGAAAGCCTGTCAGGGTTTCCCTCTATCCACTTTGATACCAAACAGAATCAAGGCATGGTTGTCTTGAATTTCCTTCTCATCCCCTCTTCCTTCCCTAGGCTAAGTTGATGTTTGTTTAATGATTCTTATGTAGTTTCTTCAAGGTTATCTCCATATTCTTCTATAGCCAGGGAGCCAGTCTGTTATAATGGTCTCACAGTCATGAGATTGGGCTCTTTTATTATTGTTAATGTTTTATAAACAACCCCTAGTTCCAAGGAATTCTTTTTAGTTGCTGTTTTTCATTGATTATATGTATGATTTTAATCCCACTTATGAATTGGGGAATTGTATGCCACTCAAAGTTGGTAAATTGGAGCAGTCTATAAGACTTGCAGATAAATAAAATCAGGCATATTTGGTTTTTCATTTGCTATATTTTTGCATGTTTTCCTTTGTAGAGCTTGTGGATTGAACGTACCACTCTAACTCTGACTCACAGTTTACCTGGGATCTCACGGTGGTTTGAAGTGGAAAGACGAGAACTGGTAATGTATTATTTTTGTTAATTAAGGTATGAGGGGTTAGCTAAAGAGAAAGAGTAATTTTCATCTAATGGATTAAAAAACCCAGCATTTTAAATGTGCCTGTTAATGTAACAAATGAGTGTTTCACATAATTAAGAATCATTCAATAGAAGGGCTTCCCGGGAAGAAATGGCAGACTGAAGATGTCTCTGCAAAAGCAGAGCCAATGACCGTGGCAAAGACCAAGGAACCGATGAGTAGACTGGTTCCTTAGAACCTCTCTGGATAAGTGTAACATTCACGCAGTTCCCGCGGGCCTCTCACGAGTGAGGGGAAAGAAGACACCAAACTGATTCTCCTTCG